GTCTTGGATGGTCGGGAGAGAAGTTGCTCTCGGAGGAGGTTTTAGGACCATTCTTTATTCATGACCATGTTCTTGTGAGTGAGCCCAATCCCTTGGCTGAGAAGGGACTCCACACATGAATGGTCTCAAGATTCTTCACTGTTGGCATGACTCCGGACTGTTGGCATGACACCCTGAGCCACTTAGTTATGACTTTTGCCTTCAGGCAAGGCGCTCCATCATGCTGGAAGAGGCATTGTTCCTCACCAAACTGGTCTTGGATGGTTGGGAGAAGTTGCTCCTGGAGGAGGTTTTAGGACCATTCTTTATTCATGACCATGTTCTTGTGAGTGAGCCCAATCCCTTGGCTGAGAAGGACTCCACACATGAATGGTCTCAAGATCTTCACTGTTGGCATGACTCCGGACTGTTGGCATGACACCCTGAGCCACTTAGTTATGACTTAAGGCGCTCCATCATGCTGGAAGAGGCATTGTTCCTCACCCAACTGGTCTTGGATGGTCGAGAGAAGTTGCTCTCGGAGGAGGTTTCTGGACCGATCTTTATTCATGGCCATGTTCTCGGGCAGAGCTGTGAGTGAGCCCGCTCCCTTGGCTGAGAAGTGACCCCACACATGAATGGTCTCAGGAGGTTTCACTGTTGGCATGACACCCTGAGCCACTTAGTTATGGCTTTTGCCTTCTGGCAAGGCGCTCCATCATGCTGGAAGAGGCATTGTTCCTCACCCAACTGGTCTTGGATGGTCGGGAGAAGTTGCTCTCGGAGGAGGTTTCTGGACCGATCTTTATTCATGGCCATGTTCTCGGGCAGAGCTGTGAGTGAGCCCGCTCCCTTGGCTGAGAAGTGACCCCACACATGAATGGTCTCAGGAGGTTTCACTGTTGGCATGACACCCTGAGCCACTTAGTTATGGCTTTTGCCTTCTGGCAAGGCGCTCCATCATGCTGGAAGAGGCATTGTTCCTCACCCAACTGGTCTTGGATGGTCGGGAGAATTTGCTCTCGGAGGAGGTTTTTGGACCGCTCTTTATTCATGGCCGTGTTCATGTGAGTGAGCCCAATCCCTTGGCTGAGAAGCGACCCCACACATGAATGGTCTCAAGATGTCCCCACAAATGAATGGTCTCACTGTTGGCATGACACCCTGGTTGGGAGAAGTTGCTCTTGGAGGAGGTTTCTGGACCGATCTTTATTCATGGTGGTGTTCTCGGGCAGAGCTGTGAGTGAGCTCGCTCCCTTGGCTGAGAAGCGACCCCACACATGAATGGTCTCAAGATGTCCCCACAAATGAATGGTCTCACTGTTGGCATGACACCCTGGTTGGGAGAAGTTGCTCTTGGAGGAGGTTTCTGGACCGATCTTTATTCATGGTGGTGTTCTCGGGCAGAGCTGTGAGTGAGCTCGCTCCCTTGGCTGAGAAGCGACCCCACACATGAATGGTCTCAGGATGCTTTACTGTTGGCATGACACCGGACTGTTGGCATGACACCCTGAGCCACTTAGATATGACTTTTGCCTTCAGGCAAGGCGCTCCATCATGCTGGAGAAGGTTGTTCCTCACCCAACTGGTCTTGGATGGTTGGGGGAAGTTGCTCTCGGAGGAGGTTTTTGGACCCGTCTTTAGTCATGGCAGTGTTCTTCTGAGTGAGCCCAATCCCTTGGCTGAGAAGCGACCCCACACATGAATGGTCTCAGGAGGCTTCACTGTCGGCATGACACCAGACTGATGGGAGCGCTCACCTTTTTCTTCTCCAGACAAGGTCTTTTCCGGATGCCCCAATCGGAAAGGAGAAAATCCCTCAGCAGTCCTCAGCCGTCCAATCCCTGGACCTTCTGCAGAATATCAGATGGCTTTCCTGGACAGAAGTGGCTTCTTTGCTGCCCTTCCTGACACCAGGCCGTCCTCCGAAAGTCTTCTCCTCCCTGTGCGTGCCGATGCCTCACACCTCCCTGCTGCCATTCCTGAGCTATCTCTGCACTGGTGGGGCCCCCGATCCCGCAGCTGAATCCTGTCCTGGCACTCGCTGGACTTCCTTGGGGCCCTGAAGCCTTCTTCACAGCAATCGAACCTTTCCTGGAAGTTCTTGATGATCCGATAAATGGTGGATTTAGGTGCAATCTTAGCAGCGGCAATATCCTGGTCTAGGAATCCCGTTCTGTGCAGAGCGATGATGACTCCATGTCAAAAAGTGAAGTCTTGATCCGTTTTTAGCTCCGATTTTGAAAAAAAAAAAAAAACCACATGACTAAATGGAAACGGATGTAAACAGATGAAAAAACGGATGTAAATGGCTGAAAAAAAAGGATGTAAACGGATATGAAAACAGATGTAAAAAGTGAAGAAGATTTGATCCATTTTGTTCCAATTTTGAAAAAAAAAAAATGCAACTGAACGGAAACGGATGTAAATGGCTGAACAAACCCGGATATAAACGGATATGAAAATGGAGGTAAAAAGTGCCGTTTTCATCTGTTTACCTCCGACTGATCTGATGCGGACCGCCCGTGTGGAAGGACCTTTCCTGCTGTTCTATTGGTACACTGCAGTACCAGATGCTATCACTAGGGGCACCGCAGGTGAAATGTGTCAGTTTGCAGAGGTTGCAGGGGCTCGGTCCCAGCATCATCTCGGTCCCAGCATAGTCTCGGTCCCAGCATCGGCTCGGTCTCAGCATCGTCTCGGTCCCAGCATCGTCTCGGTCCCAGCATAGTCTTGGTCCCAGCATAGTCTCGGTCCCAGCATCGTCTCGGTCCCAGCATCGGCTCGGTCTCAGCATCGGCTCCGTCTCAGCATCGGCTCGGTCTCAGCATCTTCTCGGTCCCAGCATCGGCTCGGTCCTCTCATTGTCTCGGTCCCAGCATCGGCTCGGTCCCAGTCTCGGTCTCAGCATCGTCTCGGTCCCAGCATCGGCTCAGTCCCAGCATCGGCTCGGTCCCAGCATCGGCTCGGTCCCAGCATCGGCTCAGTCCCAGCATCGGCTCGGTCCCAGCATCGGCTCGGTCTCAGCATCGGCTCCGTCTCAGCATCGGCTCGGTCTCAGCATCTTCTCGGTCCCAGCATCGGCTCGGTCCTCTCATTGTCTCGGTCCCAGCATCGGCTCAGTCCCAGCATCGGCTCGGTCCCAGCATCGGCTCGGTATCGCCGTCCCTTCAATCAGCCGAGCGGAAGGTGCCATTTATCCGCCGACGCACATTCTTCCCGCGGCGAGGCAGGAGGCCCCGCCCACTTACCCTGCGCCATTCCCTGCCTTGTAATTAAGAGTGTGATGCAGACGCCGGGCTAAGTGGGCGGGGCCTCCCCGCTTCATGGATCCACAATGGAATTCTGCGACCGCGGCGGCGGATAATCCGCGCTGGTGCCTGGATACGGACTTTTCCCTGCGTGCGGCGGCGGCGGATCACTCGTCCCGGAATAAAGGCGTCTAATTAGCCGCGGCCGTAATTGCGCAGTCAGGTAGTCGGAGGCGACTGTTTCTGTATTGATGGAAGGGCCCTCCAAACACTTGGCACGGGGCCCGGCGCGTTACGCCACGCGCTCTCCCTCACCGCCGCATGCAAATGAGCGCCGTGTTTTCCCTCCCGGGCATTCATTTCACCGCCACGATTAACCCCACGTGGGACAGCGACAATTAGGGGGGACGAGGCGGATGGGGGGGATGGGGCGGACGGGGGGGGTCATTAGAGCGAAGGGGCGGCGTTCAGGAAGGAACAGCGAGATGGAAACTCGATCCGGCGCTATGGCGGCTGGAAATACGGATTCCGTTTCTGCGCCCAACTGAACGGCGAATTGTCTATAAAGCGGTCGGAGCGCGAGGCACAGATCGCCGTGTATGAGGCAGCGTGCTGAGGAGCGCGTCCGGTGCGACCCTGCCAGGGATTTATTACCCCTCCCGGAGGTGACAGGACCCCCCTGACAACGTCGCCATCTCATCTCCTCTCCAGGAGGGCGGCGCCATCTTTGTTCCGGCATCATCCGGGGTCACCATCTACTTCCTGGACTCAGATGGCGGCTCAGAAATCACACCATCAAGTAAAGTTCTTGGCCGTGTTCACAAATGTCTGACACAGATCAGCCCCTGACTGCAGACACTCACCTTGTGACTTGCTACAAAGTTACAATGTACAGTCTGATCACTGGGGGAGGGGAGACTGAGGAAACGCCTCCTCCTCCTTCTACAAAGTTACAATGTACAGCCTGATCACTGGGGGAGGAGACTGAGGAAATGACTCCTCCTCCTTCTACAAAGTTACAATGTACAGTCTGATCACTGGGGGAGGGGAGACTGAGGAAACGCCTCCTCCTCCTTCTACAAAGTTACAATGTACAGTCTGATCACTGGGGGAGGAGACTGAGGAAATGCCTCCTCCTCCTCCTTCTACAAAGTTACAATGTACAGTCTGATCACTGGGGGAGGGGAGACTGAGGAAATGCCGCCTCCTCCTTCTACAAAGTTACAATGTACAGTCTGATCACTGGGGGAGGAGACTGAGGAAATGACTCCTCCTCCTTCTACAAAGTTACAATGTAACGGGGGGGGGGGGATGGGGGGGGATACAACATTTCAGGAATGACTTCAGGAACCTAACATGTCTGCAGGAGAGAAGGGAACGGGGGAGACGTGACTGAGACCTCTACATACATCAAGGGGGGGATGAGGTTCAGGAAGGCGGGACATGAAAACCAACTAACGGGAGGAACGTTCAGATCTGATCTCAGGAAGTATCATTGTACTGAGTGGTGGGTGCCGGGAGGGAATGGACTGCCAGCCGGTGGGGAGCAGCAGATCTATACTGAGACTGAAGAGATACCAACACTTAGCGTTGTGCGAATCTCCTCCTCTGTAAATATCTTCACATTAAAACACAACTGATCCGAAACCGCAGAGACTCCGGAGAAAACACTTTACTGCGCCGAAAACACACCGGATCCCCTCCCCCGATAAACAGAGGTGCCCAATATACCTCCAAGGATAGACGGGGGGAGGGGGGGGAGATCCATCTATTATATACACTATACTGCCCCAAGTATTGGCCCCGCCCCTCCATATCATGTGATTCAGGTGTTCCAATCCCCTCCATATCATGTGATTCGGGTGTTCCAATCCCCTCCATATCATGTGATTCGGGTGTTCCAATCCCCTCCATATCATGTGATTCGGGTGTTCCAAACCCTTCCATATCATGTGATTCGGGTGTTCCAATCCCCTCCATATCATGTGATTCGGGTGTTCCAATCCCCTCCATATCATGTGATTCGGGTGTTCCAATCCCCTCCATATCATGTGATTCGGGTGTTCCAATCCCCTCCATATCATGTGATTCGGGTGTTCCAATCCCCTCCATATCATGTGATTCGGGTGTTCCAATCCCCTCCATATCATGTGATTCGGGTGTTCCAATCCCCTCCATATCATGTGATTCGGGTGTTCCAATCCCCTCCATATCATGTGATTCAGGTGTTCCAATCCCCCTCCCAATCATGTGATTCGGGTGTTCCAATCCCCTCCATATCATGTGATTCGGGTGTTCCAATCCCCTCCATATCATGTGATTCGGGTGTTCCAATCCCCTCCATATCATGTGATTCAGGTGTTCCAATCCCCTCCATATCATGTGATTCGGGTGTTCCAATCCCCTCCATATCATGTGATTCGGGTGTTCCAATCCCCTCCATATCATGTGATTCGGGTGTTCCAATCCCCTCCATATCATGTGATTCAGGTGTTCCAATCCCCTCCATATCATGTGATTCAGGTGTTCAAATCCCCTCCATATCATGTGATTCAGGTGTTCCAATCCCCTCCATATCATGTGATTCAGGTGCTCCAATCCCCTCCATGGACACAGGTGTATACAATCATCCCCTAGGCATGCAGACTGCTTCTACAAACATTGGTGAAAGAATGGGTCGCTCTCAGGAGCTCAGTGACTCCAAGCGTGGTCCCGTGATAGGTGGCCACCTGGGCAATAAGTCCATCCGGGACATTTCCTGGCTACTAAATATTCCACGCTCAACTGTTAGTGGGATTATAACAAAGTGGAAGCAACTGGGAACAACAGCCACTCAGCCACCAAGTGGTAGGCCACGTCACATGACAGGGCGGGGTCAGCGCATGCTGAAGCGCACAGTGCGCAGAAGTCGCCAACTGTCTGCAGAGTCAATAGCTAAAGACCTCCAAACTTGGTGTGGCCTTCAGATGAGCCCAACAACAGTGCGTAGAGAGCTTCATGGAATGGGTTTCCATGGCCGAGCAGCTGCATCCAAGCCTTCCATCACCAAGTGCAATGCAAAGCGTCGGATGCCGTGGTGTAAAGCACGCCGCCACTGGACTCTAGAGTCCTCCTGCAGGTTTCCCCAGCAGTCAGAAGATTCCATCTGATGTTGGCTGCTGGAAGACACCTGCTGGTGGACTCTGGAACTACAACCTTCTGCTCTGGGAAGCACAGAGCCACCAGCAGGTGATCCGAGTCCTGACAGTGTTTTTTTTTTTTTGACACAACTTTATTGAGCGCTCTTTTTTGGGTCATTTATATACTTCTCAGTCTGGGTGACCCCTTTGTATTGGGGGGGTGGCGGCTTTGCGGAGAGCACCAGTCTCAAGCCATGGGGTTCGACCAACTGATTCTTTTGGATTTGCGTCCATCCATCGTGGACTTCTACAGTCCGATCCGGGCAGATTTCCATGGTGATGGCGCTCTGTTCTCTATATTAGATCCCCCCAGGTAGGGGAGGACTGACAACTCATGGGGGCCCCCGGGCATAGGGGGGGCCCCCGGGCAATAGGGGATCATGGGGCCCCCGGGCAATAGGGGATCATGGGGCCCCTGTGTCCTTGCCCAAACTCAAAAAAACCCTTGAAAAAGGTACCAGGGGCATCTCATGGGCCCCCTACTGACCCCGGGCCCTCGGGCAGTGCCCGAGTTTCCAAATGGTCAGTCCGCCCCTGCCCCCGGGTGACACAACCGGGGGGTGGGGGTGACACAACCGGGGTGGGGGGGAGGGGAATCTATCAGCTCAGCATAACAAGGGGTTATATCCGCCATAAAGACGAGCGCCGCGCCGGCAATCTGCGTTTTCTGCGATTACCTTTTCCTCGTGTTATTTAGGACGCGATCGGATGCCGGACGCCCCGTTGTACCGCCCCGCGCCATTTCACGCCCGGATCAGCTTGATTTACCGTCTTCATGACAAGGGGCCGATAACGCCGAGAGATCGCAGCACACCTTTATTTTTACCAAGTTACTTTGTAGCAAACGATGCGATTTATCCCCCCCCCAGCCCCCCCCCCCCCCCTCACAACAACATTGTCGAATCGTTGTCCAAGACGAACGGCGCTGCGCAGGCGATTTGTTTGTCACGCGACAGTAAATTGGGGGGGGGGGGGATATAAAAGATGGATTACTGGAAGAGACACTGTAGTTGGGGAAATAGAGAAATGAATATCTGCAGATTGAGAGGTTAAGGAACACTTGAGAACATCAGCGAGTCAATTACAGAGCGCGCAGGAGGAGTACGGCGGGGGTTTGCTGCCACCTAATGGCGCCTTTGAGGAATGCAGCAATGTTCTGCGACTACCACTACCCTGTCCATGGCCATGGCTGGGACTCTTCATCGCATTTCATGGCCACTCCATAGAAGGTTCCATGCTCTGCCCACGAGGGGCCAAAACACAGGAAAAGGCTGCAGTACTTGTGCAAGAGTCCAATGCAGGCCACAGACGGTTCCTTTATCGGCTGAATTTTCGCCCGAAAAAAAACGAAAAATCGGTTGTTCTGTTGCTACCAATGATTACGAAAATCGGCAATTTTTCGTACATTTTCCAGCATGACCGATAATAGAAATGAGGAGGAACCGCGAAAATCGGCCGATAAACGAACCGTCTGTGGCCGGCATTAGGCAGGTGTGATGCTTCCAGAAATCGAAGTGTTAATCGTTTATGTTTGTCGATTTTAAAAAAATGGAAAGTAAATGAAGAGAAATCCAATCAGTATTTGGTGTGACCCCCTCCCATCCCCCATATCCTGTGATCAGTATTGGGGTGACCCCCCCCCCACCCATCCCTCATATCCTGTGATCAGTATTGGGGTGACCCCCCCATCCCCCATATCCTGTGATCAGTATTGGGGTGACCCTCCCCACCCATCCCTCATATCCTGTGATCAGTATTGGGGTGACCCCCCCATCCCCCATATCCTGTGATCAGTATTGGGGTGACCCCCCACCCATCCCTCATATCCTGTGATCAGTATTGGGGTGACCCCCCCCCCACCCATCCCTCATATCCTGTGATCAGTATTGGGGTGACCCCCCCATCCCTCATATCCTGTGATCAGTATTGGGGTGACCCTCCCCACCCATCCCTCATATCCTGTGATCAGTATTGGGGTGACCCCCCCCACCCATCCCTCATATCCTGTGATCAGTATTGGGGTGACCTCCCATCCCCATATCGTAAGATCAGTATTTGGTGTGACCCCCCACCCATCCCTCATATCCTGTGATCAGTATTGGGGTGACCCCCCCATCCCCCATATCCTGTGATCAGTATTTGGTGTGACCCACCACCATCCCCCATATCCTGTGATTAGTATTGGGGTGACCCCCATCCCCATATCCTGTGATTAGTATTGGGGTGACCCCCCATCCCCATATCCTGTGATCAGTATTGAGGTGACCCCCCCCCCCCCATCCTCCATATCCTGTGATCAGTATTGGGGGTGATCCCCCCATCCCCCAAATCCTGTGATCAGTATTGGGGTGACCCCCCATATCCTGTGATCAATATTTTGGGGTGTCCCACCCCCTCATATCCTGTGATCAGTATTGGGGTGACCCCCCCCATCCCATCCCTCATATCCTGTGATCAGTATTGGGGTGACCTCCCTCCCCCCATATCGTAAGATCAGTATTTGGTGTGACCCCCCCACCCATCCCTCATATCCTGTGATCAGTATTGGGGTGACCCCCCCATCCCCCATATCCTGTGATCAGTATTTGGTGTGACCCACCCACCATCCCCCATATCCTGTGATTAGTATTGGGGTGACCCCCCATCCCCATATCCTGTGATCAGTATTGGGGTGACCCCCCCATCCCCCATATCCTGTGATCAGTATTGGGGTGACCCCCCCCCCCCATATCCTGTGATCAGTATTGGGGTGACCTCCCCCATCCCCCCATATCCTGTGATTAGTATTGGGGTGACCCCCCCCCCCATATCCTGTGATCAGTATTGAGGTGACCCCCCCCCCCATCCTCCATATCCTGTGATCAGTATTTGGGTGATCCCCCCATCCCCCAAATCCTGTGATCAGTATTGGGGTGACCCCCCATATCCTGTGATCAATATTTGGGGTGTCCCACCCATCCCTCATATCCTGTGATCAGTATTGGGGTGACCCCCCCATCTCGTGACCCCCCCCATCCCTCATATCCTGTGATCAGTATTAGGGGTGACCCCCCATCCCCCATATCCTGTGATCAGTATTAGGGTGAACCCCCATATCCTGTGATCAGTATTGGGGTGACCCCCATCCCTCATATCCTGTGATCAGTATTGGGGTGACCCCCCATCCCCCATATCCTGTGACCAGTATTGGGGTGACCCCCCACCATCCCCCATATCCTGTGATCAGTTTTGGGGTGACCCCCACCATCCCCCATATCCTGTGATCAGTATTGGGGTGACCCCCCCCATCCCCCATATCCTGTGATCAGTATTGGGGTGACCCCCCCATCCCTCATATCCTGTGATCAGTTTTGGGGTGACCCCCCCCTTTGCCTTGCACCCAGTGAAGGAAGTCGATCGGTAGGTCGTTCTCTGTCCATCTCGGAGGACTCAGCCCAGATCTTCTGTGGATGTCGGCCGCCTCCAATCCTTCTGTCTCTTCATGTCATCCCAGACAGACTCCATGATGGGGAGATCGGGGCTCTGTGGGGGCCAAACCATCACTTCCAGGGCCCCTTGTTCTTCTTACACTGAAGATAGGTCCTAATGACATTGGCTGGATGTTGGGGGTGGTTGTCCTGCTGCAGAATACATTTGGGCCAATCACACGCCTCCCTGGTGGTATGATGGAGAAGTATCTGCCTGTATGTCTCAGGATTAAGGACATCATTGATCCCGACCAAATCTCCAACTCCGTTTGCAGAAAAGCAGCCCCAAACTTGCCAGGAACCTCCACCATGCTTCACAGTTGGCTGCAGACACTCATTGCTGTACGGCTCTCCAACCCTTCGCAACAAACTGCCTCCTGCTACAGCCAAATATTTCACACTGTGACTCCCCAGGCCAGAGCACCTCCTGCCATTTTCCTGCACCCAGTTCCTGTGTTTCCCTGATAGCCGAGTCCCTTAGCCTTGTTTCCATGTCGGAGGTTGATGGCCTTTTGGTGGCAATTCTTCCATGAAGACCATTTCTAGGCTGACTTCTCCGGACAGTAGATGGGTGTTCCCGGGTCCCACTGGATTCCTCCAGTTCTGTGCTGATGGCAGTGCTGGACGTCTTCCGATATGGAAGGGAAGTAACCATGATGTGTCTTTCATCTGCTGCATTGTTTCTTTACCCCACACTGCATCTACACTCAAGTTACCCAACCACTGCGTCTACGCTCCTCAACATTACCCCCAACCACTGCATCTACACTCCTCAACATTACCCCACCACTGCATCTACGCTCCTCAACATTACCCCACCACTGCATCTACACTCCTCAACATTACCCAACCACTGCATCTACGCTCCTCAACATTACCCCACCACTGCATCTACGCTCCTCAACATTACCCAACCACTGCATCTACGCTCCTCAACATTACCCCACCACTGCATCTACGCTCCTCAACATTACCCCACCACTGCATCTACACTCAACGTTACCCAACCACTGCGTCTACGCTCCTCAACATTACCCCAACCACTGCATCTACGCTCCTCAACATTACCCCACCACTGCATCTACGCTCCTCAACATTACCCCACCACTGCATCTACGCTCCTCAACATTACCCCACCACTGCATCTACGCTCCTCAACATTACCCCACCACTGCGTCTACGCTCCTCAACATTACCCCACCACTGCATCTACGCTCCTCAACATTACCCCACCACTGCATCTACGCTCCTCAACATTACCCCACCACTGCATCTACACTCCTCAACGTTACCCCACCACTGCATCTACACTCAAATTTACCCCACCACTGCGTCTACACTCCTCAACATTACCCCACCACTGCATCTACGCTCCTCAACATTACCCAACCACTGCATCTACACTCCTCAACATTACCCCACCACTGCATCTACGCTCCTCAACATTACCCCACCACT